CCGAAGACGTCTATGTGTGACAAACTGAAATTCCCTTCCTAAAATATGTGTAACAGACCAAGCACAAGAAAATAGAGAGGGGAGTCTGTCAAATCAAAATATGCCTGCCCTGTCCGAAAGCATCAGATGTTTATAGAGTTGGTCGAAGGCCACACATACTCATTTGGATGGCTGACTCCAGCTGCTGTGGCCATCAGCTGTGTCCCTCACAGGCCTTTTCTATAGAGAAGACCTGAGCTCTGAGGGTGAAGAGGCACATTTTCAGGTGTGATTGCCAGCTTCCTCCAGGCTGGCAGTGAAAGACATTGTGTCAGGCATTTGCCAAATGATCTCTTCGGTCCTCACTTCCTAGTGTGGGGCCTGAAATAGTCATTGTGGGAGAAATTGCACCATCTGTAATGGGTAAAATGCTGCACGAGAGCCGCTTCCACCAAATAGCAGCTCACACACAAATCTGAAGACTTGAAGCTGAGGACTGTTGTGAGTGTTTCACATAAAACAAGACTTGATCTAAAACTATTAGATCCAAAATGTACAATCGATACTGTGATTATGACAGGCAAAGAAAGTACTAAAAAGGTAAGTACAACTGGGATAGGGGAAAAGAGAAAAGAAAGTGGGGAAAAGATTACCTGTGTGCAAGATAGATAAATATACTACTAGTCTCTGTTAGTTCATCAAAAAGAATGGTTTGGGCTGTCATTGACTGACTGATCATTTTTATGCCTGGATCTTGTAACATAAACTATTCTAAGGTAACAATATGTAATATATTTAGTGTTAATTTCCTATTTTTGTTTTGAAATTCTGTATCATTTTGATCCTTTTTTCTGTTTTGCTTTTTAAAACAAAAAAATAAGACATGACTATATCATTTACTTCTGACTGTTACATTTTAGCAACATGTACTGAAAGTTTACAATGACCTATGAGGTATACTTTACTAACAGAGACAAAGCAGTCATTACTCAAATTCTGATGAAAATGTGTTTCTCTACTTCTTTCTTGTTATCTTTGAAAAAAGCTAAAAATAATTTTGCAGAAATGTAGCACTTTTTCCTCTCTTTGTAAATTGTATCTATCTGAGGTATACAACATGATGCTTTGGTGTAAATATGCATAGAGGAGTAATTATTACTTTTTTGTTGTTGTCTTTTCCGTTTTTATCAGTACCGGGGATTGAACTCATGACCGCCTGCTTGCAAGGCAGGTATTTATGCCGCTGAGCTAAATCTCCAGCCCCTACTACTATTAAAACATTGAGCTTTATGTCATCTTTGAAATTACAGGTGTGTGTGCGTGTGTGTGTGTGTGTGTGTGTGTGTGTGTGCACATGTGCAAATGTGTGTTTGGAAGGGCACCTAAAATCTTCTCTCAAATTTTCAGTACACAATGATTAGACGTACTCTTTATGTATATTGTATCTGTAGGCTTATCCTAAATAATTGCTTGTTTTCATATTTATTTTTATTTTAATTTTTATAACTATATGTCTGCAGATTACATTCATTAAAGGGAGTTGATGCATAATACATATTAACTTTACTTCATCCACTTTCTTTATTTCCCTCTCCCTCCATCAGTTTCTATCCCTTTACAAAAAAATCTATCCCCCACATATGAAAAAATAAAAAATAAACAAAATAAAAAATAGATAATTTTTCATCTTTCACAGCATAGTACATGGAATCCTTATCAAAATTTCAGTGGCACCTTTCCCCAAAAAAGAGAAAAGAAAGCAAATAATCATGTGCAAATACCAATGACACTGAGTAGCCAGAAAATTCAAAAAAGTTCATATTTTACCTTATTTACAGTTATATTGCAAAATAATAGTAATGGAAATATCATAGAACCATAGTAAGACCAGAAACATAGGAATAAGGCAAAGGACTGAGAAATAAACCCAAGCATACACAGTCAAGTAATTTCAATAAGAGTACCAGCAGCAAAAGATGGAAAACAGACAGTCTTCTATAGCAAAAGGCTCTAGCAAGCTCTCTTTTCAGTACAAAATATCTCCTTTCTTAAAACGTAGACATTTTAATAAAAAAGAAAACCTGCTGCCTTCTATAACTGCTGATTCTCCTTTGAACGTAAATGTTATGTGACAGAGGCTTCCAATGTTTGCAGTTATCTGAACTCCCCTTTTATTTTTAGTGGTACATCCAGCAATTTAAATCATCTTTCCTGAGTCTCTTCAAATCTACCTACCATATCTCTCTTGTTTACTTTTCTTTTGCTGAGACAAAATACTTGATGCCCAAAATAAGGTAGGAAAGGTTTATTTAGCTCAACTTTTTGGACGTTTCAGTCCATATGCAGCTGGCTCCAAGGCAGGGCGGCATGGCACTGGGACAACAGTTCAACACTGTGACAGCTACCAGAAGCCACAAGAGCAAAAGGGCAAAAGGGCAAAAGCACACCTTCCCTCCTCCTATTGTATGCTGGCTCCTGCCCCTGTGGGGTGCAGCACTTATACTGCCAATCAATCCCAGCGCTAGACAACCAACCAATCACAAATGCTGGGCTCAGATGCCTCCATGCCTGCTTGAGGCTTTGGGGGGAACACCCAGACACAGCCATAACAGTACCTTTTCCAGCTGTGCAGAAAACTTCCATGGCACTGTGTGGCACTACCATCACGGCTCTCCCTTCCTTGTCAGGTGACAGTTTTTGCTCCTTCCTTAAAATGTGTCACACAGAGTGAGGTCTTTATGTCTAATGGTGATAGTTTTCAAAGATTAATAGTAAGAGACACTAATGCAAGAATGCTGTGTTCCCCCAAAAGATAGCAGCATTTTAGTGAACTCCATTGATGTCTAAATCCAGCATTACCTAAAGATGGGACTTTGTGCTTGACACAGGCCAAGTGGAGCTCCAGAACTACATGCACAACATCGAGCAGGTCATTCTGAGACACCTGAGTGAAAGGGCACTAGATGTCAGCCTTTGCATTCATGCAATAAGCACAGCTGAGTTCCCTCAATGATGTAAATTTTCAGTAGGTTGGGTCTTTAATGTTTTCTTTGATGGCCAGTTTGTTCTGACTCATTAACTGGAGAAAATTAGGTGAGGTATAAGAAATAGGAATCTTTACTCCCTTTAGACTGAAGTTGATTATCATGAATAATTAGGTGAACTTTCTAAGAAAATGGCCCTGATGCTTCTCATTTATCTGTTTGCCCATTAGCTACCTGTAATCCATGGGAGAAAGGACTTTAGTGCCTCCTAATAACACATTTTATCTTCCAGTCTTAACTGAAGACACAGACTTCTGTAGCCAAATAGAATAGAACACAAGTTATGAAAAAGTGAGTTCTATGAGAAAGAGAAGAACTAGAGGTGGAGGCATTGAGAAGTCTCTGGTTTCATGATTATTCCACTTTGATGATAACAGACAGCTGTGTACGTGGGAGCTTGTAAGAGCCAGCTAACTTCAGTCAGAGCTAAAGTTATTAAAGGGTGAGTACAGGAGAAACAGACTCAATCCTTCTAAGTGGGCATTTTCTATGCAGAATTACATTGAGCTCTCTCCTTGACCCTTGGACTGACATTCACCTTAACAGAATTCGTCATCATTTCACAGTGTGTCTCCAATTTAAAGGACCTGTCTTTCATCATTAAGTATTGCACTATTTTCTCCCTCTACGATTTTTTCTTTGCATTTTTGCGTTAATTTTAATGGAACGGGAAATATAAAGACAGTTTTATCAAATTTATCCTGCAATTTCTGTGTATGGTACATCTTAACACATTCAGTGCACAGTGCGACATTGCAATCTGGGTGACAGTATCTAGCCTGTTTCCAGATTCCTTTCGTGTTGTCTTTCTTTGAACACTCTTCACACTGTTGTGTCGTCCTTTCCTGTTTTCTTGTGGAAGGTAAAATTTCAATAAAACATCTTACCCACTGAATATAATGGTGGACTGGATGATGGACTCTGGGTGGTGTTTCATGATGACATATTTTTCAATTATTTGGTCTGTTAGACCTAATCTAAACAGTAAATGATTTTGAGAATGTCCCTGTTTCCATATTGTTTGGCCCAGAAGGTGTGTAATTTTTTTCTAATTTCCCTTGTTTTTTCGTTAGGGAGTAACTCACTAGACATCGTTCCCCTCTGTTAACAGCACTCAGAGTTATTATAATCTTGACCACTATTAGAATTTTCAAAATTTTACTTCTCTCAAGTCTTATCACTTTTGTATTAGCAGAAACTGACTACAAGGAAACATCTTTTCATTGCATTACACAGCCTTTTCCTCTCTGATCTGCTAGTATTTCTCCTTATTTCAGTTTTTTCTTTTGCAAATCTTTTGGCACTTCCTTCCTTTTCAGTCTCAGTGTAACAAATATATGTCTTGAGTTGTAAAAAAAAATGTCAGAGTTCCAGAAAAGTATAAAAATTGACCGTAATAAGTCAACGTTCCATGTTCAAAGGTGGTTTTACCTGTGTCAAAATAATTCATGAACCATGGAATGATCTTTATAGTTATTATCAAGTACCATTCCCTTTGCAATGTAAATTATTAAAGGCCCAGGTACTGAGATTTGAATTCACAAAGCATGTAAGTTTTGATACCAAAGGTAGCTCTTTTTTAGGGGTGTAAACTGAATCCATCCCATCAGTACTTGTACAGCATTTGATTTCCATCAATTGTGATATTTCTTGCAAGCGTAAATGCAGTAGAAAACTTATTGAGATGTTCAACAATTAGACATAACTTAGTTGAAGATTTAGGTGAGGACTAGTGTCAAAAATAAAATTAACTAGAAAATGAATAGAAATTTCAATACAACAAAACATTTAGGACACACTTTACTAAAAAAAAAAAAAAACATGGTGTTTCAATGTAATTTCCTTAGACCCACATCACTCACATATTTGCTGACGTATAATTTCTTGAAGACTATGTAGAGGATAAATAAATAAACATTTCTGCATCTTATGTTGGGTTCAGTCCTTCCAGTTTGAAGATTTCCCTAAAATTCCAGGCGGGTTTGTTTGATTTAAATATTGGTTAGTTTCCATTGTAATCAACTCCATTATTTTAGAATTGCAGAGTAATGTAAAGTAATGTAATATTTCTGTATCACTGTGTAAATGACAAATTTACACTAGGTGTGTTGGAAAATGGAAACCCAGAAAGAGTTGGCATTGGATTTTCCAAATTAACGTCAACAAATGTTCTGGATGATGTGAAATCTTCATTCTTAGAATGAAAGTCATCCTCCAATAATTCTGAAAAATCATCTTCAGGTTTCCTGATTCATGAATTGGTACTTCCTCATCAGTACTGTCTTCCGATTCAAACATTTTAGAAGGTCACTTAGCAATCTTCAAATTCTTGATCGGATATATCTGATGAATAATGTTCTCTAAGGAAAACAGCTGTTTTTATTCCTTTCCTGCATGTTTCAAAGAATGAGCTTCCAAGAGTCACCTTTCTCTCCCCAGCATCTTTAATAGTGCAATTTCTCACCTGATTCCTCCTCACTTTCCCTGTTGTGGCAACGCTGCTCTCCGAGTTAACCATCAGAGGATCTTCCAGCTGCTGTGGAGTTGCGCATGTGTTGCAAATCATGCCAACAGCTCCTCTGTCACTCCAGGCAGAGGGACTCTGGACTCCCATCCGGCTCAGCTCTAGAACCGCTGTCTGCAGCCCATCCTCTAGATTCGCATCACTTCTGGTTCTAAGCCTCCACTTCTGATTCACTGATGATGAGATATTGAGCCGGACCAGACTGGAACACCCAGAAAAAGACAAAAAACACCTTATGATCTTTTAGGAAGATTTTTCTGGTCCAACTGATGTTATTTTGTCTTAATGGAAAATGTCATTCTTTTTGTTATTCATTTTAAAGGCAATCAAAATATAAATTGTCAGCCAAGAGAATGCATCAGATTAGAAATTTATTTTTAATGAGGAACGTAGATAAGGATGGCTTAATAACAGGAGACCCTTTGTGGTGTGTTGGCAAAACATGCGCTTATACAGGTGCTTAAGCCAATGATGGACCAAACCAAACAAAGCCATCCATTCCTTCCATGTAAGAGACCTTGAGGCCCACCTGAAGACAGCATGGCCAGGGAGGACAGACGCTCTGAAATCTAGGGTTAAACTTATACAAGGGAATAGAAACTGCAGCACCACTACCGGGAATATAGTACCTTTGTAATATTTCGTAAAGCTTTGTAACTTCTCCACTTTGGTCATTTTTTTCCTCCCACTTTGTCTGTGTATTTGAAGCTAGAATCTTATTACACGAGATCTTGGGTGCTCTGAACTTGCCTACAGCTAGGCATCAGATGGTTAGATCTTCCAAGGAGGAAAGATGGTGGCCATTGAACAAGAAAAATGAGAACATAAATAAGCCAAGCTGCTTGGGCCCATGAGGAAGAGGAGAGGAGACAAGGACCGAGCAGCAGTTCGAATTGGACACACACAGTCCTCTGCTCCTCTCTCTTCATAACTGTGAGTGTACCACCATGCCAGTTCTAATGAGGAAATTAGGAACATCAAATAGCAGCTCCATGGATTAATCTTTTAGAGAATTAATGAAATATTATTCTATTCTTATGTCACAGCCCGCGGGTGAGTCAACATAGACACTAGAAAGGGATTGGGGATGAGAAGAGACAAGAGACTTGAAGAATGAAGACAAGACATGATTCTGATCAAGTCTCATTTATTCAAAGAAAGTGTAACGAATATATAGGGTATTGGGGAGGAGGGACTTGGGTTCTGAGATGTCAGCAGGTAATTTAGCAACAGTGGCAAGGCCAGGGTTATGCTGCAATTCAAATCTCCTGCACATGGGCTCAGAAAGCAGGCTGATCAACATAATCCCTGAATGGGCCAAACGGGCTAGGCAAGAAGCTGCTACCTGTAGATATAAGGTGGCAGCCAGTTACAGGGCTTGCCACATCCTTATATTCAAAGACTCACAGCACTGGTATCATAAGAACAGAGCAAACCAATTGTTCTTTGTATCTATTATTTTTGAAGTGTCTATTTTGCAAAGTTTTAAGAGGTAGGCAGGAGTTTGAAAGGGAAAGTGTTTTCCTTTAATGGCTTAGATTGTTTTGCCTCTACCTGTAAATAAGAAGTACTATGTTTAAAATTTTATGCTTTATTTGAAAGGAAACATTCATGTGTGTTGTGGGTCCTTTTGAAATATAATTTAAAGATGATGGGGATCTGGGTGTCTGAGATGAATGTTTCCAAAATAGTATGTCATAGTCATTGGTTATTAAGAGTAGTTTTTAGCAGAAGAAACACTTGTGCAGATTGGATTAATCATAGAATAATATCAAGAATAGTCATTATGAAGGGAAAATCATGAGAAAATAAAAAGAATAAGACTTTTGAAAAATTTTAGTACTCAAAATTGGATTTCTCAGACATCAATAAACCAATATTATGATTAGATCTCTCATGAGACAAAAGAGCGTCACTCAATAATGCTCACCATCCTTAATCTTCTAACTTTAAAAATGTTTTATGGAGCCATCTCAACTTCCTGGTAGAAGCATAGTTTTGTAAAAGTATTCTAGAAGGCACTTGGTAATATTCAAATGAAAGCCTTAAAAATAAATTAATATCAATCATCCCAGAACCACTTTTCTCTGAATAAACCCATGCACCAGGTCAGCATGTTTTTAATACATATAAAATGACCTAAAATTCTGACAATAAAAGATTGGCTAAATGATCAATAATATATCTACAGGACTGAGTACTCTGCAGCAACTTAGGAGAGCCTTTGCAAGAGTATTTCATTGTATTGGAAAATGGTCACAAAAGTTAAATAATTGGTGTGGCTATTTTATAACACTAAAGATTCCTGAAAATGTGCAGCATCTACAAGTTGTATATGATGTAGTGAAAGGAAGAAGCACACCTGTGCTAAGGGAAGCCCGCAGCTATTGACTGGACACTGCATTGATTTCTACCAGGTCACAAGGCAACTACTTTTCTCAAAAGGAGACCAAAGGAATGGAAAGCCGTAAGATTTTGATTTGCTGGTTTGTCCTTCATTACTTATTCATCTATCCTCAAAGTCATCATTTTTTTCAGTTGCCCGCCCTCTGCGAGCAGTGTGCTACATACTGAAGTGTCACAGTAAGGTGTAGAATTGAAGTTACAATGTTAATTCTGTGTACACTGTGCGGCTTAGGACTTCTTTTTGTAGTGTGAGACATTTGTCATTAAAATTTAAGCTTCAGAAACTCTCGAAAGAATATAATGTACAATAATAAAAACAAACATAGGTGGACTGGCCATGTGCCTTGATCTAAGCAGAGTAATTCAAACGATATGTCTGTCCCAGAAATACTATTGTGTGTCACATGCACTTCACAGATGAGGGAATAAAGCTCTCAGGAATTATCCCTTGTTCCTGAATTATAGAACTATTAAGTTACTGGGCAGAATTCAGCAAAGGTTTTTAATCTTTTGACTTGTGTACTCTGAAACGCATCGATTTCTCTCTGAAACTTCAGATATTCTCAGAAACAACATCTTCCTGAAGACATGGCAAAATATAACAAGTTCAGAGATCTGCATGGTGGCTTGGTCATACTGTGAAATGGGAAGATGCTGCTCAAAAGGAAGGAGCAACTGGGATGGAGGAAAGGAGAAAAGCAAGAAGGGAAAAGAAATTATATATAATATATAACATAATAGATAACAAGATAAATATACCACGGATGTCTATTAGTTCACTGAAAAAGATTTGTGATTGCATTGTCTGATCAACTTTTGTTGCCTATATTTTGTAATCTGAGAAACTACTTTGAAGATAACAGTATAAAATATCTTAATCATTGTTAATCTACTATTTATCTTGTTTTGAAATTCTGTGTCATTGTTTTTATTGTTTTTTTTTCTCCTTAAAATAAAAAAAAAAAAAAGAGAAAGATCACTGGGCTGAAGATTAGGAGTTTAGTTATAGCTGGGCTACAAACCTTTTCCATCCCCTTGTTCAAGTCACTACTAGCTCTGGATTGCATTTCCTGCTTTTTAAAAATAAGTATATTGAACAAAGAATCACTTGCCCAGGTGTTAATTGTATACATATAACATGAAAAATTTAAAGTGTCTGTCTTCTTTCACAAGGAACAGGATTTCAAACATAGCATGGCCTGATGTACAGATGGAATTTGCTGAGCAGATTTGGGAATGCTATACTCTTTGGGGAAGAGGACTAAAGTTATGGCTTCTGCCACGGACCTTGAGAAAGTGTCCAAGTCATTTGAAAATCATAGAGAAGCCCTTGGCCTCCTTAAGAAACCTTTGTTTAGTCCTTTATTCTGTCATAAAACCAGACCTTATGTTAAAATGAACCATGGTCCACGGCAAACTCTTTTGGAGTCAGATGATTTTAAAAATAGAGGTATTAGGTATACCAGGTTTATTACCCTTCTGTGGTTAATAATAATAAAATTCTAACTATTTGCTCCTAAAAATTTACAAAAGTGCCACCATTGGAAGTGATGCAGATTGGTTTATAATAGTTTATGCTTTCAGAAGCTCAATGCTAAAATGATGCTGAAAGCCATCGACGTGGAAGATGGTTCCCAGACCAACTGTCACACTTGGCAAAATTGTTGTTGGTTCAAGGGAAAACTAGAAAAGGAAGAACACTGTGGTAAAATGTTTATAAAACTATATTTGTTAAATTTAAGCAAATGTGTTTATTTCTGAGGTTATATAATCTCAATATGCATGTTTTCTTTCTATTAAATGACTGTTATATTACACTTTAAATTTGTCTAATTTCTATATATAGTCACTTGGTAAAATAATGCATTAGGATTACATTTTTCAAATTTGTACTATTTGGTGAAATTATAATTTCTGGGACCTGTGGAGCTAACCTAATCTACAGTCTCTTCCTCTAAATGTCTATGACTCTTGATATTCTTGTATCAGGTCCTTCCTGCAATTTCAACTCCTCTGGGATAAGGAAGTCATCCTGGGAGCGACTCCATTCCATCTTTTTATGGCTTTAGGTGTTTAATAGTTCCTTGCTATATTGTGCCAAGATTATTATTATTTTTTTTTTGTGAGGGAGGTTAATTCCATCCATTAATAATACTATCATAGGACCATTTTCTAAGTAATAAACTGAGGACAATCTCATTTTTGCTAGCCAGTGAGTAGCACATTTGGAACTGATCTGACTCTATTGTCTTTTAAAGCCCACATTTCTAGCAATGACAAAATGCTGCTCTCTAAATCTTCATCATTAACAAAGTTCCATCTCTCTTGCCAGTGTTTATTGTTCGTAGGGGCAGGGCTTTTATTTTTCTATGGTGAATATGCCCATTTTTTTTAGATTTTATTTTTATGAGTACATGTTTGCACATCTTAACAATTACACTCATTGTATCATGCTGGCACACATACAGCACACAACATATTTTAATTCTTTTGTTCATCCCCATCTCCCTCCCTCTCCTCTTTTTCCATCTCTTGGTCTCCTTTCTTTTTGCAAAAGACCTATTCCCCTATTTCTTACTGTCTTTTATTTTGCTGCTTAATTTATTTATATTTCATATTTTTCATATAAGAGAAATCGTGTGATATTTATGTATATTTATTTACCACAAGTGTGGCATGGCTCTTGTGTGTCATTGAACCACATTAGGCCCTGGTGTGAACACGCCTTCCTTATTTGCAGTGTGTGTGAGAGCCCATGTGAGGCCGAGAATAGAAGACAGATTTTTCTTTGAAGTTCAACCAGTGATTGGGCCTGTCACATACTAAAAGCTATTAATCAGTTCAGAGTGTCTGTTCCCTATTCATAAAATGGAAAGAATACACTTTAGTGTCACTATGAAGATTAAATACAAAAGTTGAGTCCTAAGGAGCTTTAACCCAGTCATAAAAATACAAAAACTTTGAATAAAAAGATATATGCTAGTTTGTGTATATCTAGACTTAGCCACATTGATAGGTAAAAAATCATTTTCTAGAAGTGGTTACTTTCTCTAGGTCTTCTAGCTGTTGAATAATGAAAGAGAATGAGCAAATTTGAAATCTATTGTTCTGATTCACATCGGGATTCAAGGTTAATTTACAATTAACTTTCTGTATTTGTCCCTCATTGATCAACTGATGCATATGCTTCCGTGGAATTGGATTTTATCCAAGCAGGACAAATTAAGCTTCAAATTTAACAATTAAACCATCAGGCTGATGCATACTATTGTAACTCTGGTGTATTCTGGGGTGGATTTCAGAGCAGCCTCGCAGCCCAGCTCTGATGGCAGAAGCCTGTGTCTGCTCTCCTGTCACAGTTTCCAGGCAGCCCCACTCAAGGGGCAGTGATTCTTATGGCACTCACGACATAAGAGTTCATCACTCATAGCTACGAGCATGCCCATGACTTGAGGGCTGGTTTCTTACTTGGAGAAAGAAACGTTCTGAGAGCAGTTTCTAGTTGATCTCTCACTGTGATTTAAAGTGAACAGACAGATGGCAGAAAGGCAGCTAGCTAGATACATACATACATACCTATGTTCATATGTATAGATCGATGGATAAAATGTACTTTATAGATTGGTGTAAAGGTTTTGCTTTGGTCTAATCACACTAAGGAAAATAGTGTGTTGATGCACACACACAAGGTTCTTATTTCCCTTCCTATAAGGCTCTTCATATACACATCAGGCCATGGTGCACATATCTTTTGGATCAGACAAATGTGGGGTCAAGTGCTGGTTTCACCTTTTGTTAGTCATTATAACCCTTGGCTATCTAACTCATTTCTTGGATGCACAGTTTAACTACCAGTTCGATCATTCTGAAAGTGAAAAATACAGCATATACTATGCAGATTAGATTTTAAGTTAGGGATATTAAGTGAACTACTCAGCAAGTGCCCTGGCCACGGTCAGCAAACTGTCGGTGACTATGTCTGTAGCAACTGGACTGCTATGGTTGGTTCTCTCTGAAATTCCTGTGTTGAAGACATCGCCCAGGGCAACAGTGTTGGGTGATGAGGACCTCGGGGTTCATTAAGTCACGATGGCTCCATGCTCAGAAATGGATTAAGCCACTAAAGGAAATAGGCTTGCAGGAGTATGCTGGTTTTTCTGCCATTTGAAAGCACAAAATTCTTCTCTGCAGCACATGCCATCTTAGAAACAGACCTGCTGATACCCTGATCTTGACGTCACATACAGGGGTCTTTCCTGAATCTAATTTTTCTGGAATAATACATTGTTTATAAAACAGAAGCAATGCCTCTGAACAACTCCCAACCATCTCAGATTTATGAAACTAGACTGGCATCCCATTTAAAAGATCTCAATATGTTTACTTTGAAAAGGGAGGAAATGGAATTTTTTTAAATCCAAAAAAATTAAATCTACAGAATAGAGAAGTTATTAAAAGAAAGTCTATATACTAAAGTCAAGGCATTGAAACCATTCAGGCTTTGGCTGACTGCTAAGTCCCCAGAGGCAGAAAGTAAATATATCACTAAATGTCTCTATATACCTGTGGGACCTGCTTCACTGTTTTAGTAATAAATTTATTTTAGTGATCCTAATGTATGCTATACAAATCCTCCTCCGATCCCTCGCTGTATCTTACTACTCACTACAGAACAAGATTGAAAGATTAGTGTGCAATAGTGTGTTGAGGCCATCACAGAATTGTAAACAAACATGCATACCCAATAATTTTATAATTCACTACCACAACCAGATTCCTCCCACCTCAAGGTTCCTCCTTTTGCTTCAGAATTGCATTTCTGTACACGCTAGCAGGTCTGAAATATCAGTTCTGAAAACAGACACTGCTTCCTGGATGAAGGTAATGCCATTAAGGGAAACGAGAAGGCCCTGAAAGAAGAGACTAGCCTCATTATTTAGTCTTTTTCTTCTCTTTTTTAAATTGTAAATGTGTTCACTTTGCTACATCACTCCAAGTATATTTCCCATCAGTATACAAAAGGGAATCTTCTGAGACCTCTCCTGAAGGGTAAATAAAACTGTCAGATTCCTAGTGCTAAAAGATTAATATTATGATAATTACTTTGTAAAAAATAGATTAAGAAATGCCCAAACAGCCTCTTGCTGCCTTTACATCTCTGTAAAATGTAGGCAAGCTGACATCTATGGCCTGTGTGTGGGGTAATCCGACTCTGTGCTCTGAGAGCTGGGGGAGGTGTGTGTCAGCAGTTTCTTCCTCTGACCTCCCAGAGGTTTCCAGCTCTTCAACCCTGAATAGAGACAAGAGGCCGGAAATCACACAAATTGAGATCCAGAAGACTAAAATGTGTTAATGGAATTTTAGTGGGGAAAAATGAAACAATATAGCAAAAGCTAAAAGTAGACAACAAAACACAAGCCAATGTCCTCATTCTTGCAAAGAAGGACCCTGATCAGCCTGCTGAAGGGTCAGCCTAGGTCACAGCCTCCTTTAGTTAGTAAGTCTTCAGCAAGCCATTTAATCTCTAAGCTCTCTTTTCCGCTATCTCTCATAAAAGTAGAACTTGTTACTTAGGTAATTATATGTTGAAACATTCTAAAATTTGGTTTCCTCGTGTTTAAATTCAAAATCTCCATTCTTGTCTAACATGAAACATTGCAGGAATGCTGGTGGAGCCACACAGCTGGTCAGCCCACTGAGGAAAAGTGTGCAAGCCAGAAAACACATGTTGGTTCACCCTGAGCTGAGTTCATTGTGTCAGAAGCTTCTTCACTGGATTCCCTTTGGAAAACAAAAACAACAAAACAGAAACAAACAAACAAAAACCAACAGCCAACAAAACAGCAAAAATCCCAGCCACCCCCTCAAGAACTAAACTCAAGCTACTTATCACTAGCATAAGTAGAAATGTACCTGGGAGAACAGGAGAATATCTGCATTGAGGTGAATCCATTATCTTAGCTTTAGAATACTAGAACACTAAATCTAGTATTCTAAAATCTAGAATACTAGAGCTGAGATGTTTCTACCTCATCCATAAGGTGTGCATTCATACGCACAACTCTTCATTAAAAAAAAAAAAAAAAAAAAAGGAGACATGAGTATGTTATAGAAAGTTATTCTGGAGTGCAGCGGTTCTAACTCACCTTAGCTGGTTGTTGAGAGGTTGATGGGGCTTCTTGGGTTTAGGTGAGCATGTTTTGGCTTGTTGATTTCTTTCTCTATACCTCAGTTCTGGCTGGTAAGTTTCTTAGTTCTGGCTGATGGCTTCTTGATTTCTGCTACTTCTTTCTCTATGCCTCAGTTCTGGCTGGTGAGTTTCTCTGTGGATGGTACTCTTGTTTCTTAAACCTTGCTTGTCCCAAGTACAGCAGGCTTTTCCTAGGCTAAAATAAAACTTATAAACAAAGTCCCTATTACCTATTGCAGACACTCATAAACCTAAAAATTGCAAAAAACGCTGATGGTGACTCACTGCTTTTATGAGCACCTCTGGTTTTAAAACTGGGAAATAACTACATTTCAAGTAAATACTTGCTGGAAGCATCTTCTCCATTACTCAAATGTTGTGTGCCCAAGGCTGCACAGGCTAAGATAAAAATGGAGAGCCATTTGGGACAAAAGGTTTTCCTTGACGGGGTTGCAAATGAGATTTTTAAACAATAAGCAGGGCACAAAATTTTCAGGTTAAAAAAAAAAAAAAAACAAGAAATAAGAGTTCTATTTCTCAACTGAGAAAGAAGAAAGGGTCAGCACTTTTTCAGAACCCCACACTGCGTGTCTCTTTTCGCTGGACCCCAGCAGCAGGGAGCCTGTGATTTCCATTCCTGTTCTTCCCCCACCTGTCTTGACTGTGAGCTGCCTGCTTCCTGCGCTGACTGAAATGCCCGTGGAAGCAGTAGTGTTTTCTATTCAATATGTTTTGTGCTTATTATAGTGCAAGGCACCCAGAGGGTCCTTGCTAACCCTTTATAGATTCATTGCAAGCATCGATTGTAATACTTACTGAAGGTATGGCTGAGTACCAACATGCATTTAGTTGTTCATGGTTTTTACAAAGTGCAACTCTTTGTCTATACTTCTGTCTTATGATGTAACTCTGAGCTCCCCCACCCCCAATATGTAGTACATAATTAAATATCCTGCCCAGTATTTTACTCTATATGATTTCAAATGCGCCACAAGAATAAATCTGCTTAAGGATGTAAATCTATTAATTAAGCTGGACATGTGGCAAAACTGGCAATGATTTTTAAAATGTTTTCTGGAAAATAGGCTTAGTTTACATTTTTCCTTGTATTTCCATTCTGTCCAGAATGGCTTTGTGAATAGCAATTTTTTTCTCCATTATGCAGTCTTTTATTTTTTCCTATTCTTCCCATGAACAGAGTATTACTAATAATCTAGTGAGCTATTCTTTACATGAGATTTGTACGGATGCAAGGCAAAGTATATACTTAAGATCCACTGAAAACTAAATCGCCTGAAATGATCAAGGTAGAAATATCTTCAAGAATGAATATTACCTAATATGTTGTGAAATTTTTCAGGATTAATCTCTGATATTCAATGTGATGATGTAATCACTCCCCTCTGGACCCAGATCCCATCTGGGTTTTCCCAGGGCTGGCGTCCTGACTAGAACAAGTACATGTACCTTTGAAGCTGCCTTTCACCATGTGGAGAGAAGGTAGAAAGTGTTCTTAAACAATTAACACCTGATTAGATCTGCAGATGTCACAGCCCAGCACATGCTTGTCTGGCATGCATGTGGCCTTGTCTGTAGGAAACTGTTCATCTCCCAGGGAAATATTATATAATTGATTAAAATAACCTCAGATAGGGGCACAGAACGCCACTCTGCTACTGCCAATAATAGAGCCAGAGATCAAGATGCATTTTGAAAACACAGAGAGCTGGTTTTGTTTGAGTTAATTGTCACATATTTATTTGAGTACTTATGTTATCACTCATTGTCGAACATTAATGTGCATGCGAATTATGATAGCTTATTAGCAATGCAAATTTCTGAGCCTTAATCCCAGAAATTATGATTCAGTTGGTTTCTTGCGGCCAGGAAGTCTGGATTTTCCCACAGTCATCAAATTACATGTGGAAACATTAGCCCTATGCCAAGTGTGTAAACCACACTTCCTTCAGTTTCACAGACTGTGTAAGAATTTCTTAAGTTGTGCTTCATTTAATAATGGTAAGAATATTAATATCAAAATAGTCCTATGTCTTATCATTATTATTAAAATGATAGCCACTATTTGTTAAATATCACTATCATGTGCAAAGCACTTGTGTATCTTATACATTTGATTTTGTAAGGCACTCTGATGAGTGCCACCCCGAGTACTATCCAGTAAACCCCTGTTTTGTGCATTTTCAGTACTAAAAATAAACTCTTTTCTGGAGCATTGCTTGTAGAGCTAGGAACTTACCAGTTAATCAAGCTGAGAAGCTGGGCAGATTTCAGGTCAGTATCCTGCTCCTGGGGAATATAATGGAAGACTACATCATGGTCATGCTCATAAGCCATTTAAAATCCCCTAAGGAAATCAATCTATGGATGAACTGGCAAGTAACACAAGCTAGGGCAGATGAACAGACATGGTGATCCTGGGGTTTCAGAAATCTGAGACACCACCATGATTCACCCCACCCCGACTACTATCCAGTAAACCCCTGTTTTGTGCATTTTCAGAACTAAAAATAAACTCTTTTCTGGAGCATTGCTTGTAGAGCTGGGATTTAAAGGAAAAGCTTCTGGGTTCCCCAGAGTTCCTCTCACTGCCTCTGTACTCTTCACACAGTACAGAAGCAGTCTGAAGAGGGGTGAGCACTTTTATCTCCTCAGACAGCGACTTAACACAGAGACTCCAAGCAGAAGGTAACCAAGGAAGACTTTGTGGGAGAAGGCCACAAAATCTGGAAAAGGAGCTTGAAGGAAGAGACTCAGGTAAAAGAAAGCAGAGGAGCAGAGGAAGAAAGGAAGGAAGATACAGCTATCATGGTAGCTATCATGAACTCCACGGTGTATCTTTCACTCATAAATAGGCACCCAGTGACTGCCTGTGTGACATGGATGCTGGGACTGAGGAGTGCAGTGATGAGGATAAATTTGGTGCCTCCCATAGCAAGCAGGAGACACAGCACTGTGCAACTCCAAATCTCTGTAGCTCAGTCCTCAAAATATTAGTTCCTATCCATACTACAGACAGGCTATAGGACAACAGTGGGGTTCTGCTAAGTGAAGTCACACAGAACCCTGATCTTAGGTAACTTTGCCTCAAACTCCATGGCTAAGATCTTTGGATGATCACAAAAAGAACTGAATGATACGGGAAAATTAAAGGACAGGGATAAGAGTAATTAACTGAATAAAGAATGGGGATGGAGACTGCCAAGAAGCTGGACCTAAAAATTACTGAAGACAAGGTGCTTTTAGGATGCAGTTGTAATCTGTTGGGTGACTGTTGGAGACTGACTGGCAAAGTGGGAGAAGCCAACATTGCTCCAAGCATGCAGCCTCTGCTGAGCCCTTCATCATGACAGTAGAGTGAGACTACAGGCTAGAGTTGCAGAGGGCCCCTGGTTGGTGTGCAAAGGATGGATTGTGGCAGAGGAAAGCGGTGTTCTTTTCACAAGGAACTTTCCATACCTAACCTATGGACAGTGTAGCCGTTATTCAGAACTGCTTCACAGATACAGAAACAAAAGTTTTGGAAAATCACCTACCACAAAAATCACAATGCCATTAAACATGGTCATGGAGAGATTGAAAACCTGAATTGTCTGATACCAGTTTAGATCTAAATACTGTCCAAAGTCTCAGCATACACTGGCTAGTTGGTCATGGGGCACTGTATTCATCAGAGGAATTCAGCAACTGAAACCGCTGCTAGGAGGTGGAGCCTGGTTGGAGGCGGGTCACTGGGGGAGACCTGGAAGGCTGTGTTCTTGCTCCTGTATTCTCTTTCTTTGCTTCCTTTCTGTTATGGCTTGCGTGGCTTTCTTCTGTCATACCCCTCTTCCATGTGGCTTCTGCCTTGGAACCAGCCAAGCATGGACTGAATCCATGAGCCAAAATAAACCTCTCCTTCTTTAAATTGCAGGTTTTGGTTATTTTGTTCCAGGGATATGAAAATGGTTAAACCAGATTACAAAGTCTGTGCCCTGTTTACATTATGAAGCCGTCTCCTGGTCATCCCAGAGTATAACCATAGCACAGCTGGGTCTCGCTATCCAGTTCAGGCTGGGCTTGAGCTCACTTTGGAGCCCAAACTGATCTTGAATTTGCAATGATTCTATTGCCTCAGCCTCCCAAGTGCTGAGATCAACAGGCATCCTTTACCACGCCCAACTTTAACCTAAATGTTTAGACCAAATGTTGATTTTAATTCTCGGGAAAACTCAGCATAAAAGTGTTTATACTTTACAGCTCCTCTTGCTCACCCGGGTGAGCAGGTCAGCATTTAGAGGAGATAAGACAACCAGACCACCACATTACTTCCTCTCTTTCTACAGGTCATAGCCTCAGATGAGTGATGCTTTTAGTCAAGTGCTGTAAGGGAAGATGGGGCTGTAATGTGCATGGTTTCAAATGAACAGGGAGATTTTCTCCTTGTCAGAAATAACTGAACAATTCAGGAATAAAAGACAATCCTATGTGGTTCTTATTTCTCACCACTCAAAATAGCACAGGGGATATTTGACAAGCCACGGAAGGGGACAGCTCACTTTCTTTGTCTCCCCTGGTTCCACAATTCGAGGATGAGGGAGAACTGGGGTGATTTTGAGTACCACACTGCTGTCACTTCTGAGAATGATTTACAAAATTTTTGCCCCTGGGGATGTCATTGGCTCAAATGCGTAGCCCAAGATTATCCTTCATGCAAGACTCCAGTTGTTCTCAGAAGCTTCCTTGGACTCAAAGAGTGCTGGTTTTCAGTTTCTACAATTGCCTCTGTGCTTTCCTGAGTGCTGACCAGAGACCCAAGTTAATCAAATTGGCAACACCTGGTGTTGGATCAGTTCTGTACGATGTCTTAAATAACTACTAAATGTGCAATTCTTTGGTATCATTTTGATAAGATTTGTTTTGACTGTAACAGAAATTAAAATGTACAGCACAATCCATTAATAGTTGCTAAGATTTTGCCATGCATTTTATAATTTGAATGTAAAATAGGTTATTGGGGGTTTTGTATGCATAAAAGTGAAAAATGGCAGATATTTGTGCATAACGATATGACTATGATTAGTTTCTTTGGGGGCAGGAATGAGCTTATTCACTGTTCAAGCCCAGGAGATTCTCGGCGGGCATTAGTTGAGTGAATGAATGACAAAATTCTCAGTACAAGTAATAATCTTTTCATATTTCTATGCCGCTTTATGTGCTACTTGCTGAATTGCCTTAACTCATCTTTAAACTCTTCTGAATACTTCAGGTGTCCTCTGAAGCGGCTGAACTTTGTTTCCTTAGCCACACCAGGGAAGAGCTCTCTGCTAAAAATCAATAAATAAGAACTTGCATATAGGGCTGGCCACAGTTACCCTAGTGCCCCAGGCAGAAGTAGCTGGCATGCTTTAAATACCAACACTTAATGCAAGAAAACTTGTGAAATAGAAGTGAATCTATTTTATCCCTGAACGCTCTTGCTCAGAGCTCTTTTCCCCACACCTGGGTCCCTGGTAAGCCGCTCCAAGTCCCCATGTCTCTTCCATATTCTCTGTGCAAGACCTGATCTGCAAAAAGACTCCAGAAATACTATCCTACCAAACTATAGCTTAACGGTGACCCCTTTGGGGAAGTTTGGTCTCAGTGAGTACAGGATCTGGGTTGTCCAGAGTCTCCCTGGCACTTAAGGGCCAACTAGTTTGTACTGGAGGATTGTACAAGGAGTTCAAGGTGCCAGCCAGCTCTGGTTAGCATCATTGGACCAGGTCCTAACCCTGATCGCTCTCCTGTTTTTACCATGTATCCATACTGTCACATCATAACCAGGATCTTGTAACATGGCTCAGGGCCTTTCCACTTATCTGCTATTTGGATAATTACTGGATTTTACCTATGTCCTTTAGCCAAAAATATTCTACTGTTAGCAGATGACTACCAGATAAGCACCCGTCTCCCAGCACCAAAATACCAGTTCAGGAATCCATAGGAGAGCTTTGGAAACAAGATAACTTCCGGACCTCTGATATCACACCTATCCATCCTGTTTAAGACTTACACTTATATCTTATTTACTATAGACAACTTCTTCAATAAAGGAGAAGATGTTAAAATTATGCTCCCAGTATTTATGAGTCTTTTCACAAGTTCTAGCTCATCCAGACTGAGTATACCTACACATTGCTCCAACTTCCAACTCACTGTTACTGTATTTGCTGAGTGTGCAAGTTGCAACTGCGCTTGGTATCAGACCTAAGATTTAGCACCCCCAATTATGCCCTATTACTGTCCCCAGGAAAAGAAGAATGGGAAATATCATATCCTATGCAATTACGCCCTCTCTCTTGAGGGCACAAGATTCTTTCAACTCTGCCCAATAAACTTTGTGACTTTCAGAGAAAGGAAAAAAGGAAGAAAGGGAGAAAGGAAGGAAGAAAGGAATGAAGGAAGGAAGAAAAAAAGAGAATACCACATCTGACTGACATTTTAATTTTTTAATTCCTGCCCTCCAAAAGTTAGAAATTTACCTAAAATCATTTTTCTCAGCGTTTTTGTTCCAATTGTAGCCTACTTGATTATATAAATCTCCCCCCTCACATGTCCTAGTGTGATGATGCAGATCAATATATTGATAATTAAAATAGCAAGAAACTAAACAGAGCATTTTGGTCTGGAGTTCATAAAATACTTAGACCCTAAAAGTTATGAAATACCATTTTTCTATTACAAAAAGAACCAGAGATGCAAATGTAGTTTACAAGGGTTTTATGTTTGATGAAAAGTACAGTATGATGTCTGATAATAATTTGAATAGGCAAAATATTTGAAGAACCACATTCAAAACTAGGAGAAATTTGCTATTGTTTCTGGAAATAACAGATATAACCTAAAGATGTACAGGATTAAGACAAAATATCCCATTAGTAGAACTCTCTATTGATAGCCTTTGAGAAGCATCTATCAGAATCCCATTTTAGAACATAACCTATATTGCTCTCCTTTGATCCACATAGATTTGCTTTTCCTCCTGTGAATTTTCCGTAAGCCAGTGAAACAGTCCGTCAGTTGAACAAAAGAAGAGTCGTTACTGCTCGTACAGTGAGGTTTCAGGCAGTTACCAGCCTATCCCTGCTTTTTGCCCTTATACTGCCTAATCTTTAACGGTTCCTTACGTGTTTCTTGAAATTCAGGTAATAATTTCAGCAAATGCTCTCCTGAGCCAAAGTTATGGGCCCCATCAGTTTATGTTGCTTGGACCAGCTTGGTCTGGACTGAAAGACCATCACACAATGTAACTTCTATCTGTTCTATCT